CTACCAGGAATCCTACACCCTCCTCACAATAGATATTAGATCACTTGTTGTTCCCTTGTCCTTGGGTTTGTTAAGAGCCACTTCTTTTCCCCCACCTCACCCTCTCCCATGTCCCCCCAGAACCACCGGTCCATTTATTTTTCTCTTTTAGGCACTTTCATGGGTGTATTTTCTGTATGAGATAGAATACTAAGTTCTTGGGTTTGGTAATATGATTCAAATACAAATAAGATGTGTAGATTTTCATAGTTCACAGGTTAGTAATCTTAGGGATTGCTACTACCACAGCTCAAGTCTTCAAAGAGATGAAGAATTCAAGTCTGAAGCAGGAAAAAAAATCCATATCGAAAGGGTCCAAGCTCAGGAGCAAGATTCCAGCAAAACTTCATTTATCAAATCATATAATGGTCTTAGTAGGAGACCTAGCCACCTCTGGAGTGAATTAGTTGCAGTTCATGAGTTACTCTTCACCCTAGATATGCCAGTTGAAGTACAGCCTAACTCACGATGCTGGAGACTCTTCCCAATATCCAGCAAGGTTGTATTTTTATTGCTACCAGCGTGGGGCATGGGTAAGGCTGTACAGAGGCCTAGAGGCAAGGAGAAACTAACCAATAAAACTGCAAACCATTAAAACACTGGTATCTTGAATACCTAAGATGCTTGGACTAGTAGACTGTATCGGAAGTTATCTTTAAAATAATCTCGTGGGATTTATTTTTCTTTTAATTTATACTTTGGAGGAAAATGATGTAAGATAGATAAAATATTGAATCCCCCACCCTTTGATCAGGAGTATATACATTTATTTTCAACAATTATTAGATTTAGAGAAAATAATTCAAAACTTTATGACTGCCAGTTTAATTTCTTAATGAAATACACTTGTAAAATATATGGTAAATATTTCTCCCCTTCTATTAGGGAACTTGGTCAAGAAGACCATGGGATGATGAGGCAATTAGATTGGTTGATTTCCAGTGTACTTTCTCTATAAGATTCTATAGTCCTTGGAAAATACAGAAGTGTTGGAAAGAGAGTTTCCATCTTGACTAAACTGTTATGAAGTTACTGTGAAGGGGAAAATATATGTGTAATATATAGATATACTTATATAATACATTAGATAGATACATACAAATACATATACAGATATATAAATATAAATAAAGTTCTGGGATTATTCAGTCCAATAAGGTACAACAGATGATGCCTTGGTAAACTTTTAAATTGATAAAGGGACAAAAGTATAGCAGGTGGATACAAACTACTCTGGAGGGCCTGTAAGAATCAATGTAATGTTCCTCCTGCCTACATCTCCAATACCATCTTCTAAAACCATCCTTTTATATTCAATGCCTCAGTTGCCTCCTTCTGTAGTCACACTGAAGCTGTTCCTTCTGCTAGTAATTACTTTCTTCCAGATCATTGCTGATCTGGTACTTTGTGTCATTTGGATCTAAGTTACAATCTTACCTTCTTAGTACAGTCTTCTCAATTAACTCACGCTAAACAGCTTCTCACACCAGTCTCAGTCTCAATCACATCACCCTCTCATTATTTGCATGGCATATATCACTTTGGTAACTTAACCTTATTTATTGGTTTCCTTTCTTATTCCTTGCCTGTCTCCTCTCACATGAAAGACAGCTTCATGGGAGCAAGGACTTTGGTCTGTTTCTGTTGGCTTTCCGATATGTGGGAAAGGGTCTGTTCCTATGGCTAAAACAACCAGTTCCCCTTGAGTCTATTCTGACGTGTGACCTCCTCAGGTGTATCACTAGAACCATATTCCGTACGGCTTTCAATGACTGCTTTTTTCAGAAGATGATCACTAGACGTTTCTTTCAAGAGACTTCTGGTTGGACTCGACCATTCAAACTTTGGGTGCGTATCTGAGTATATTACCTGTTGCCAGCTCATAAGGGACTTGTGAATATTATTGTTAGGTGTTCATTTTTGGTTCATAGGAACGCCAAAAGTGTGGAATGGTCACACAGAATTTTCTAGGTTGTAATGTAATGAAAACACGTCAACAGGTCTCAGCCATGGAGCTACTTAAAGGGTTTGAGTCCCCCTTTTGTTAACAGAGTGTTTAACCATTGCACTACAAGGTCTTCTTTATTCCTCATCTTGGGTGTTTATTGAAAGTTTGTCCAATGAGAGAAGGCCCTAAATACAGAGATAAATAGACAAAAGTCATGACAATTATGATCATGTTGATGGTAAAATAATGGGATAAAACTTTTCCTTTATGTCATACTTTATATAGTATATAGTTAACCTGATTTGATATCAATTGTTATTTGTCTGAGCCTTGTTGGTGTAGCAGTTCCATGTTGGGCTGTGATTCACATGGTCAACAGTTCAAAACCACCAGCAGCTCCACGCAAGAAAGACTGGCCTTTCTACTCCTGTAATCAGTCACAGTCTCAGGAACCCCGGAGGGGTGGCTATGAGTCAGCACTGACTTAATGGCAGTGAGTATAGAGTATAAATGAGTTAGTTATTTACGATAAGGGCTGAAAAAATGTTGAAAATTATGTATTTTCTTTCTATCTTGGAAATAAGATGAAACATATTTAATTCTCCTCTGGATACGTTTACATAATAATTTGAAGACAAGGAAACCATGGTTTTCAAACTTCAACTTAAAAAAGGGTGTAAACTATATGTAAAAAAGCATTTGACATTTCAACAGTCTTTTCACCTATAATCCTATCCTGATAGCATAGAGAGTCTGCTTGTCTTAATTTGCAGCTTGCCTTACTACTTCTTACAGAACTTTCCTTGTTTGTAATGTAGTCTTTGGATATTCTGTTACAGGATGATGACTTGGAAACAGATGTGCATAAGCTGAGCTCTAAACCTGGCCTTGACCGACCTAAAGAAGAGCTGGAACAATATGCTGTGATGTGTTGTGAGCTCTCCTATAGGTTTGAGGTAGGGCATGTGCTGAAGTTCTGCTCCTGGGTGATGGTGCCTGGTGGGCACTTTCCAGAACCTGGGAGGTATATCCAAGGGGGAAAGCATAGCTCATCATTATCAATATTCTTCTGGGATTTTTCTGGAAGTAAAGCGAAGGGAGAAGCAAAAATGAGAAAACGTTAGCCAAGCTGATAGCCACAGCAGGGTCCTACAATTGGACATTGTACACCTAGGATGAAAGTCTTTTGATGTCTCCATGCATTGGAAAAGCAAGTGAACATTCGTAGTAGCATGTTTTCTATTGACAAAGTGGAAAAATTGAATGAGAAAGTATTCTGAAGGTGACCATCCTATTTAAGGCTGTGTGTATTCCTAGAAACAAATTGGAAGGCTTAGGCCTGGTGTGGTGACATGATTTCAGTGGCCATTTGGTATTCTGGTGGTGATGATAATACTCTCATCAAATATTTAGATATATTTGTTTATTTCATGGTGGCTTTTAAAAAATCATGACATTGGGCACAGGTAAGGGTTATTAGCTAAATTACCTGTCAAAGGGAAGTGATATGCTCAATCTAACTTTAGGATGATGAAGGGCATCAGGCAATAAACACTTCAGAGAAGAACAATTAGGATCATCAGACCAATCCTCAAATAAACAAGATGTCAAAGTGCAGTGAAAGTTGCCATCTTGGTTCTAGGGAGACACTTATGAATATGGTTGGGTGTGTGGGCATTTATGCGGTATGTTGAAATGGGCAAGATGGCCCATCAAAAGCATCCCCCAAAGATGAATTTCTACAACACTGCCATTTATTTGATCCTTAAAGGTTCATTTTCCTCTGTCTGACCTTACAAAGTTTCCCAGGCCTAGGATTTATGTTTAATTCTATGCTCTCGGAGAGGGAGAACATAGAGCAAATGGCATGATCTACCTAGAAGGATGCTCTAACATATTCTTTCCCACTTTAAACCTGAAGGAACTGGAGTCCAAGTGTGAAGATGATTTGGATTTTGAAGCCGCTCGGTGTGCCAATAACTGCCACATTCCAACGGCCCCCTCCCCAAAGCAGCATTGCTTGAGTCAGGCTCAAAGCCAAAGGATGCACGAGAGAGAAGACACAGTCCAGACTTCCCTTCTGAGCACGGTGAAGATGGAAAGGTCCACTGCGCAGCTGGGCTTCAAGAAAAATCCTATAACGCAAACTTGCCAAAATGTGCCATCCAATGATCTTGGGACAGATTCTATTGCAAATGAAATCCCTGACCTTCCGTCTTCCCTGAAAGAAGGTGCTTGGACCATAGATGACATTTCCTGCCCGGGAATAAGTACTTCTCTTTCCAACTCCACTCTGCCTAGAGAAAATACAGAAATAATAGATACGCTTCTGCAGACACATCCCAAGGATATCCCCTTCCACGATCCCCATCTTTATATGAACAAAGCCAGAAAAACAAGATCTGTGGCAGACTTCCAGATGGTGGCATTTCCTGATCTGTGGGGACACAGTTCACCTCCTGCTACCCAATCCATGTTGGAACGCAAATGGGGAGTTCAAAGGTGATAGTGCTACCAACACGGAATCTATATTATTTAGTCTCTTTAATATTTTTTTTTCCGGTTGAATGGTCATACTGATGATCTGTTATCTGTCCCCAAAGGTTCAAGTTCTTTGGGAATCTTATGCTAAACATACAAGTTTGCTTCCCTATTAGGACATTTCAGAATCAAGTGTGGAATAGTGGCAGGGCTGTGCTCCTGAAAGAAACCACCAGAGAACTCCTTGGATGATTTGAATACAGTCCTTTATCACAAATCCATTGTAAACCACTATCACAGGAAGAATAAATCCAGATTCTCTAAAGATGGAATCATTCCTTAAAGGAAAGTTATCAAGAAAATCAGATATTCACTATCTGGTATCCCTTTTCTTGTTCACTATAAATGGGTATCTGATCTCTTATTAACAGAAAGGAAGGAGGAGTCACTTTATCCTACAGTTCCAATCTTATGGCCCCTATTTTGGTTAAAGAATTTGTTTTATCCATCCCTCCTGAGGGATAGAAAAGGCACCTTCTCCAGGGCAGAAACATTGGGTGATTGATGGTTTATCCCCAGAACACAAGAAAATAAGCTTTGCTTCTGGCTCAGTTTAGTGAGATTAAAATGAAAGCTGAGAAAGCCATGGAAAAAATGATGATGTAAATACCAAGTCAGTGGGGACAAAGGGCACATACCGGAATGTGTCCTTGATTTATTTTTCTGTTTCCTCTATGACTTGTTCTCTCCATGGTGTCTTCCCAAATATGTTCCCACTTGAGCTCCTCATTTCCATCTCTGACTTCACCCCCTGTCCTACCAACTATGCTCAAGTTTCTGAGAGACACACCATGTAGCTTGTCCAGCACTGTCTTATTACTGGATAGAATAAGTAATATTCTTACTACAGCTGTCCCCAGAGTCTAGGTTTCATGTCCACCACCTTCCATTTTCCCCTCCCACTGCAGTGCACTGGATTGGCAATTCAAGAAGGAGGTCTGAAAGTCCCTGGGCCTTTCTTCTTCCTCGTAGCTAAGTCTCTTAGTTGACGGTGTTCCTCAAACAGAAGTTCACTTCAGCTTTCTAGACCAGAAAAGGCTCAAGGGATCTCAATATCACAAAAGCTCAAAGCCTTTATAGGAACATCCCAAGCCTCAGAACTGCAAAGAATCTGTAGTTTCAAAGTATCCCTGAAAACTGTCTGAATACAAATAACCTTGTTATTCATAGAACCCGAAAAGGCCCAATGTCCCTAATCTAAAAGTTCTTAAGAAAACTCTGCAATAAATCATACCATACGTAAAGTCGAACACAACTGCTTTCAATAGGTCTACTACACAGTCCAGGTTTTGATTGGCAGAGAAGAAAAGGTTTCAGCACAAATTTTGGCATCATTGAACTTTTCTCTTCATATCATATGTCTCTAGTGATTCCCAATAACCTTCCTGGGAGATCCCTGGGATGTCAGGAGAAAGGGATAAGCCTTCAAATGATTTCCAATGTTGTGTTTTTAGGATCAAGATATTCGAGGACATCCAGAGGCTCATCCAGCCAAGTGATGTCATCAATAAAGTCGTCTTCAGTTTAGATGCACCTGGGTATGTGGTCTTGTGCTTCAACTGAATGTGGAGAACATTGTTCAGGGCCTGAAAGTAGGAGTGTGTTGGTGTGTTAGGAATCCATGCCTAGTATTCAGGTCAGCATGTTGAAACTCAGGCTAGATATCTATAAGAACAAACGTATCACTTAATAATGGCCAGCTGCCCCCCCCACACAGCAGGGTGAGAAGAAGGGAGCACAACAGGGCAGCAGGGGCAGCAAAGTAATGAAGACTAGACTTCTGACTCAGGGCCAGGGCTTGGCACCTCATCAGCCCTGATTGGAAAACATTCATAAGGTCAGGAGACAGACCTGGAACTATTTTTGGCTTTTTAAAAACCTTCTTCTCTATGTCTATCTATTTAAGATAGGCAGGAAAAACAACCCTGAGGAGGAAACGTACAGGACCAATGGTTCCCAGGGGGACATGGAAGTGGAGGGGGCAGGGAGGGAGAACAGGGAGCCAACTAACTCAGGGATAAGGGAACAATAAGGGACCTAGAATCAATGACAAGAAGAGTATATAATGGTTGGTGGGGTTTGATCAAATGCAATGTATCTGAGAAGAATTATTGAGAGCCGAATGGAGGGTGAGCATGATAGTGGGACAGGGGGAAGGTGAAAGGAAATAGAGGAAAGCACTAGGAGGCAAAAGCTATTTATAGAGGTATAGGTATAGGCATGTATATATGTAAGTATGTTAATTTATAATGATAGAGATATAGGCCAATGTACATATACTATATATTAAATATTAAGATGGCAGACGGACTTTGGGCCTCTACTCCAGGCCTCCCTAAACAAAAGAACACTTTGTTCTAATAACCTGGCACTCTGTGGTACTCACTTTCATGACATGATTGTTGAAGACAAAATGGGTGCATAAGCAAATGTGGTGAAGAAAGAGGAGGGTGCCCAGCTATCAATCGATATAGTGTCTGAGGTCTTAAAGGCTTGAAGTTAAATAAGCAGCCATCTAGCAGGGAAGCAACGAAGCCCACAGGAGGAAGCACATCAGCCTGTGTGATCATGAGGTGTCCACGGGATCAGGTATCAGGTATCAAAAGATCCAAAACAAACA